CTCTTCCACCTAAAGAAGTGCTAGCGCTGGTGAAAATTTTCAACGCCATGCTAAACCTGGGACACTTTCCAAGACAGTGGAAGCAAGCCCGGATCATCATGATCCCAAAGCCGAGCAAGCCTCTATCTCAAATCGATTCCTACCGCCCAATCAGCCTGCTATCCACTATGTCAAAAGTGTACGAGCGGATTCTACTCAGTCGACTGTTGGAACTACCACAAGTAGAAGGCCATATTCCTCAACACCAGTTCGGCTTCAAAAAATCCCACGGCTGCCCAGAACAAGTCCATCGCCTGGTCAACCACATCACCCACGGACTCGAGCATAAACTGCACACTATAGGCGTCTTCCTTGATGTTAAACAAGCCATTGACAAGGTGTGGCACGAAAATCAAGGAACTTCTCCCTGCACCCTATTTTGCCATCCTAAGGTCTTTCATTGCCGATCGAACCTTTGTTGTAGCAGTAAGGGACTCACTATCCAGCTTATCACACATTCACGCAAGAGTGCCCCAAGGAAGTGTACTTGGTCCGTTCCTATACACCATGTACGCAAGCGATATGCCAGTTCCGTCGCCCACCACAGACGCTCGTATGCTCCTGGCTACCTACGCTGACGACACGGCCTTGCTTGCATCCCACACGTCTCAGCTGACAGCTTCGGCTGCAGTTCAGGACTGGCTGAATGCGATGGAGCGCTGGACCAAGCAATGGAACATAGCTATAAATTACAGCAAGTCGGCATGCGTCACTTTCTCTTTAAGACTTGTGATCGGCATCGTACAAACGCCACCTCTCACTGCTACTTGGGTATACACTTAGATCACTGGCTCATATGGAACACCCACATCACGGCGATAAAAGCCAAATGCGTTCGCAAACTCCAAAAGCTCGATTGGCTGCTGAGCTCCAAAAGCCTCCAGCTGTCGACGAAAGTTCTGCTCATCAAAGCAATCCTTACGCCAACATGGACGTATGCAATCGAAGTATGGGGCACCGGATCCAAGCACCAGCTAAACGGGCTGAGGGTAGTATAGGCACGTTCTGCTGGACGGGCATCGGGACTTCCCTGGTATGTGACAAACCAGGCCATCCAAAACGACCTACGCCTTGTTCCTGTGGGCGACCTCCTAAACCAACACAGCCGGCGTTACTCGGATAGGCTAACGAGCCACCCAAATCCACTGGCAGGCAGGCTGGCCGACCCGCAAACCCTCAGACGCCTAAAAAGATTCCACCCCAGCGATCTGTCTTCGCGTATTGTAAATTAACATTGTAAATAGTTGTAAATAATTGTATATACCATAGCCCAGGCCCATATTCCATATGTACCATACTTACCTGCTCAGATGGTCCTGAACGATTCCGGCGACAATAATAAATATCGAATTAATTAAAAAAAAAAAAAAAAAAAAATTCGCTCGCGGTCGAATGTTATCAAAGCTCTAACTGAAGAAGCAAACAAAATTATTGTACCTAATCCCCACCTATTTCTAACGTCTCAAGTATCTTATCCGACTCCGATTCATCAATGAAAACACCGGATTCATAGTCCAGTGTGTCCCATTTGATTAATTATCAATAAACAGAATACAAATTTTATTTAACATATGCCAATTAAAATCTTACAATGGAATATTAACGAAATTTTAACAACTATCACGAACTTTCAATTCTAATAAAAGAACTACCACCCAACATTTTATGTTTACAAGAAACAAACCTTCCATTTAACTTTATAAATTGATTACATTGATTATTTCTATAATTTACCGCAGAACATCGGTGCTAAGCAAGGTGTCGGTGTTCTTATTAAGCAAAACCTCCCCCACACACACCGCAACATCAACTCAAGCATTCTCTGCTTTGTTTTGGAGCTTAAATTCCTCCCAATCAAAGCTTTTCAACATCCGACTTATCTGACAGTTAGACAGCCATACATTCTTCTAGGGGACTTCAACGCGTGGAGTCCTCAATGGTGCTCTCCTCAATCAAACACCAGAGGTGTTTTAATAGCGGAACAAGATCTGATTGTCCTTAACGATGGATCTCCCACGCATTTATCAACCCACAACATCCTAACCTATGCCAACCTTTTATTGATCACCCCGCAGATAGCACATAGGTGCAGTTGGTCGATCTTGGCCAACCTTCATGAAAGTGATCATTTTCCCATATCAATTATTTTTTCCATAAATTTTAGTCCTGACCCCTTTCTTCGCCTACCTAAATACAAAATAGATTTAGCTAATTGGGATGTTTATAGATCAAAGTGCGAACAAGCAGCAATCAATTGGAAGGCCGGTTGTTGAAGCCACCAAGTTTCACAAATAACCAAAGGAATTAGGTCCTGCGGAATACTGCAAACCAAACGTGTCTTGCATAAGGCAGCAGTTCCGTGGTGGAATTATACACTTCAGAAACTTCGAAATGAAAAAAGCATTTGTTCGCGTTTTACAAGGCCGTTATGTCAGACACCAACCTAAAAAATTATAAAAATTCAGTTTTTAAAAAATCTGTACTTGTTGCTAAACGGATTTGTCTGGAACATTTGACCTCCAGGTTATCCCCTCTATCTTCATCCAAAAAAGTGTGGCCGACGTAAAGAGGCTGGCCGGTTTACCACCACAGTCATTTCGATTCTTGAAGTGCGATTCAGGTGTCGTAACAGGTGCTCAGAGTATCGCCAAAGAGTTCGGGCATCTTTAGTCAAACTATTCGGCGGAAAGTAAATTTTCAGACGAATACGTACACCGAAAAAACGCCTATTTATCCCAGAACTATCTTCCGACAGCACAGACATCCTCAGCCAAAACCTTAGAAAAACACTTCATTCTAGCTCAAATCGAAAGTGCATTAGCAGGGTCAAAGGGTAAATGTAATGATTAAATCTTCACTTTATACGAGGGAGTCAGTCATTCGAATAACAAGTCACTTTTTATTAATACGCAGTGGTTTGTAGAATTTAGGATATTATATTTATTATTTATGACAGGAGAACAACTGGTCCTATCTCAGGAACGTCCGATGTTAGGCTCCCTTAGGGTATTTGTCAAAAGTCTCGACGTGCCCTCGGCTGCGCAGCTGCGCTGTTGGAGATAATTTTTTAGTATATTTTAGTATTTTTTGGTATGCCTCTCTCTGATTCCGAATAACACTCTAGCCTTTTTTAGAAAAAAGTTTATTGGTGATATATGTTAATTAAAGATTAAAAAAAAATTAAAAACAAAATTTTATATTTAAAAAAATTTTTTTAAATAAAACAAACAAAATTTTAAAAAAAAAAATTTTTTTTTAATTTAAACTTAAAAAATTCTATGATTTTTCTCTGATCAGTGAAAAAAAAAACCGACTGAAGACATCTATTTTAGTTTAGAAGTTATTAATTAAATGCCGCTAGCCAAACCAAATCGCCCACTGTGGAACGCATTGAAATATACAATTTTTTCAACTCATGCCGTCTGCTGGAGAGCGTCAGGGCTCTTATTTTCAAACAACAAAAACCTTCAGACAGTTTAAACATAGTTTCACAGGAAAACATAATGAACCTTTTCAAATTTGTTGTTAAAACCAACCTAAATATTTAAGTATTTTAATTAATCGATTAATCCGGCGTCGTAGGCCCTAGCTGCTAGTACTCTTTAAAATATCCATTAGATTTAGTATTGTATACTAGATTTAATTTTTTAAAATTAAATTAAGAGCTTTCCTACTTTAAAAAGAAAAAAACACACTAAAATTCAGAAAAATTAATGAAATCTTGATTTGTCAAAATTATTTAATGTTTAAAGATAATTTCATTTAAATGTTAGCCGCGACTTCGCCTTAAATGCTCCATCCGCTTAGTCCAATTTTGGCATACTCTTTCCAAAATGTCTGCCGGTATCTAGCTCATGAAAGCTTCGATGATGGCTTCCAATGCTCCAATTGTTGCGGGCTTGGCCCTATAAACATGACCCCACAAAAAATAATCAAAGGGCGTTAGACCACACGATTTAGGCGGCCAATTGACCGGACCCAAACGTGAAATAAACTGTTCACCAACGCACCTCTCAGTTGGTCCATTGTGTCATGTGCTGCGTGGAATGCGCCACCGTCTTGTTGAAACCACATGTCTTCCATTTTGGGCAAAAAAAAAAGAGCTTTCATTGCAAGGTATCCCTCCCTATTCACCGTAACATTGCGACTCGCACATCTTTGAAGAAATACGGCCCAATGATGCCGTCAGCCCATAATCCACACCACACTTTGACTTTTTCAGGTTGAATTTGCAGCTTTTGCATCTTTTTAATCTTCACTCCAAATACGGCAGTTTTATTCTTATTGCTTATTCACGTATCCATTCAACCAGAAATGAACACAATCTTTTCATAAAAAAGATGATCTTCGGCCAACTTCTCAAGAGCCCATTCACCAAAAATTAGGCGTTATGGTAGGTCATTCGGCTTCAATTCTTGCACCAGTTGTATTTTGAAAGGCTTAAAACTTAAATCTTTTCGCAAAATTTTCCAAGTAGTGGAGTAACAGAGGCCCAATTGCTGTGAACGGCGCGAAATTTTATCACAACACCCCGAATAGCCGACAGAGAAGGTCGACAAAACTGTCCATAAAATGGAAGAAGCGCGCGATAAACTTTCTTAACCGAGCACTAATTTTGATAGTAAAATTCAATAATTTGTAACCTTTGTTCGTTTGTTAAACGATTCATGGTTAAATTATAAGCCTAGCTGAAAATATTAACCAGGGTAACAAGACAAACAACTAGCGTTAACTGTAAAAACTAGGGCTGCCAAAAATAAAGTTGCTAAAAAATTACCCTTCAGAAGGCTTTCTTAATTCAATATTGATCGTTTGTAGGATAAAGGAACCATGACTGCCATATAATATAGCCGAATGGCTTATATTTATTTACAAATTTGTATATAAAGTACGCTTGACTTTATGTTTTAAGTGGGCTTAATATTATTTTGTATTTAAGGTTTAAAAATATATCAACTTACCAACAACTTTTTGCGGTGTAAAGGTATGATCTCGATAAAGGAAGAACTTACTATCCAAAACAAGAACTAGTTGCGGAACATTGCCTGCTCCAGTTTTACGAAAAATTCTTTCTTCGTGAGCAGCATTTACCGTTACAAAGTTTATACCTTAAAAAAAAACGATTAATATTGTGTATATCTATTATACAAGTATAGTATAATTACCTAATGGTTCCAATAAGTCTATTATCCTTCTAAGCGCGCCTACTATTCGAGTGCATTTAAAGCACCAATCATTGTAAAAAATTACAATATACAATTGGTTTGCACTATTTGGTACAATAGTTTTGTCAAAGTAATTGGTTGTTATTGATAGTTTATGGAAAAAATCAATTCCTTGATCAACCGAAGGCCGTTTATCAAAAATTTTTACATTTTCCTCTATAGAAAACCGATTATATCCACTATAATCGTGTTTTTTTTTGAGGTAATATGAGTCTTCATCCGTTACTCCATGCTGGTCAAAAATTCGCCGTCGATCCGGGTTGCTTAGAAGTTCATAAGCTAACTTAATTTTAACAAACTTTGCGGCAGCAGGGTCGTTCTGTACTTTGTCTGGATGCCTAAAATATTTTAAACTCATTAAACGGACCGTGTTTAATATTGGGTATTTATGAAATTAAATTGTTTAAGAACTCAACTATAAATTTTTAGATGATTTTGACATTTTCTTTATAAATATTTGGGATAAAACAACACAAGCGGTTCATTTAATTATCTTTATTTTTAAACAGTAATACGATATAGGATACTAGTAATACGACGTCATGTATTCTAAAGAATTCATAAACGTACAAGCACGAATCCCTTCCTAATTGTTTGTTAGTGTTAGAGCTTTGTCTAATGCTTAGTTTACACGCGCACAGAATAATGCGCTTGATTAAATATTTTGGAATTTTTAGTAAAGACTAATAAATATGAATAAAAATTTAAAAAATTATATTATGTACATTTTTGGATCAATGGTGATATATAAATATATAAATCTTACTAGCAAACCCCGGCGAACTCCGTTTCCCCACCAGATGGCAATGTACTCTTCTAGCATTCACTGTACTACGACCTATGTTCCAACAACGTCGTCTTCCAAACATGACTTTATAATTTCTGTACAACATTTACTCAGTCCTAGACTTATGTATAATTACCTACTGAGTTTGCAATGTATAAGCGAAAAAATAAAATTATTAAAACATTAAAAACCTCAACAAAAAAAAAATATTTTTTTAACATATTGTGAATACAAACCATCCTCAAACCCCCCAGGAATACACACAAAAAATTTCATCAAAATCCGTTCAGCCGTTTAGGCGTGAAAGAGTAACAGACAGACAGAAACATTTTCGCATTTATAATATTAGTATGGAATGAAGGAGACACCTTAGTGGTCTAAGGTGTCTCCTTCACTGCGTTGCAAACTTCTGGCTGAAGTTATAATACCCTTTGCTCTGCAAGGGTATAAAAAGTTCATAAAAATATTTATTTTATTTTTGAATTGTTAAAATATTAGCGCGGCAACATTGTTCTAATTGTCATTGCTAACTACCTTTGCACTTTTTCGCTTATCGCTTCCTGGCCTTTTCCACGGCAAGCTGCTATGTAATTCGATTTGTACTCGCTTACAAGAAGCTGATCGCTTCCTTAATTCTCTTAATTCTTTCGCTAAAGGCACAGACAAATCGGTCTGCCTGCTAAAATATCTTTTTGCTGAAAAAAAGGCACAGACAATTCGGTCTGCCTGCCTAACTAAATCTACAACAAACAATAATTTTGTACATTTAAGGCCTTGGTTCCAGATAATAAATAAGTGCATTTTAAGTGAAATTTGTGTGTACTATTTTATTTGGGCACCGTCGAGATAATGGTTAGTAAAAAAGCTTACTGACCCAACAACTAGTATTATTGAATTGAAGTTTGAATCTAGTGTAAATTAGTTTAGGGCGAGAGCGGGAGCGCATGATTCTATTCGAGCGCACGCATATGTTTCGTCTCTTTCGCCAAAAAATTAATTAATTAGCCACCCAAAGTTTTCGGTTATTAATATTTAAAAAAATCTTTTAAATTTTCATGGCGCCCCGTTCGGACTAAATTAATTGTTTAAAGGCAACAAATTTTTAAAGTGACAGTGACACATAACCAACAAGTAGTACAAGTGATTTTTTCTTGTGTTTTTTGCTTTGATATAGAAATTGCAAAAAATAAAAAAATTTCTTGTGAATTACAAAGTTGCCCGCGACGAGTGGTGTTTTTATACCCTTGCAAAGCAAAAGGGTATAATAATTTCAGTCAGAAGTTTGCAACGCAGTGAAGGAGACACCTCAGACCCCATAAAGTATATATATTCTTGATCAGCATCACGAGTAGAATCAGAATACGTCTGTACGTCTGTCCGTCTGTCCGTTTCCGCGCAAACTATTCTCTCAGTTTTAAAGCTATCTTGATGAAACTTTCCCAAAAGGTGTGTAGTTATTGCACGCAGTGTATAAGTCGGAACGGGCCGGATCGGCCGACTATATCGGATAGCTCCCATACGAGAGAATGAAATAAAAAATTCTCACGCCGTTATTTTTGATCAGATCGACTTGATTTCTTCAAGATGGCGTTTTCGAACTGTTATTGAATTTCGGATTAAATTTGATCAAAATCGGATAACTCTATCATATAGCTGCCATAGGAGAGTTCAAAAAATATATATAGAATTGATGGAAATAAATTGATAACATCGTTGTTTTTTTTTTATCCCACAAGCATGATTTTTGAACATCAAGTTTTTTAACAACTCTTATACTGAGAAAAAAGTTTCATAAAAATCGGACAACTATATCTTATAGCTGCCATAGAAAATATCGAAAAATCTATATAGATATAAAATTATAACATCGTTGTGGGGCAGCTGCCCCTCTCGCCCCCCTGGCGACGCCCTTGGCTTCGATGTTGTTTAACCTTTATGCATTTTATTCGACATATTTGATGACTGCAAGGGTATATAAGCTTCGGCTTGCCGAAGCTTGCTTCCTTTCTTGTTGCTGCCACCGACAAGGGATGTCCTGCGATTGTTCCGTTTGCAAGAGGAAAATGGCAGCTAGATTGAAAGGTTCGCACGAAGAACCAAAGCTATATGTGCAAAAAATTGAAAGCAGAATATTGGCAAAAAATTAATATTTGTCGATTGCCTAGAGCTGAAAAAATTGCACCTCGCTTTCAATTCTTGGCACATACTCTATGTACGATATAATAGAGTTAGAATTGCATGCATAATCAAATAAAATAATTTTACATAATTGCAAACAGTAAAAAAAGGCATTAAATATATATACATACATAAGTACATATATAAAAATACATGCCTATATAAATATACATACATGTCTATACTATTTGAGCCGCCATTGGATGCAACTTTTGTTAAATTGTTTTAATTATCGTCAAAACCTCGCAAATTAGTAGTTGGGAAGTTAATCCAAGCCGCTATATCCAAATAAATAAGCCCTTATATACAAGCAGCTGCAGCGGTAAATTTTTTTCGTTTTCGCTTTCGCTTAGTCGCTGCTAGCAGCGTTGTTGTTATGATTGGGTTCTTTTCATTTGGGCGCGCTACAGGTTAACGGACCGTCAAGTGACGCGCTACCCTGCATTCGGTCGGGTATATTATTTTTTCGCTGTTGTTTGCACCCACTATTCATTTTGATACTTCGTGCCTCGATAATCAATTTAAAAATTATTTTCGTTGTTTCTGGCTTCTAAATAATTATTTAATAATATTAATTATTTAATAATTTTTTCGAACAAATTTGTTAGCAGTATATTGGAAGCTGTATAGACTAAGTGGATATTTACATTCTTTTACTCCACCCGGGAGCTTAGAGCCTCTACAATTTCTTGCAGAGGATTCATTATCATAGATTTTCGATCGTACCGGTGATAAGCCAGTAGCGACTTATCCTAGCGGTGGGGTTGCCACCTGGCGCCATCTAGGAGTGACGAAAGTATTATTGTTGGGTCCATAGTAACGTGGACGAGGGGGTTGTGCGGGTCCGGGGAGCGGAAATTTGTTACTAATGTTAAGTGAGCGATAGAGCATAGAAGTGGTGGAGATCTGGAAAAAGAGACCGTTTCTTTTTCTCGGGGAGCCTGGGGCTCGACTCGAACCCGGGCCTTCCGGACCGGAGGCCAGCGCTCTACCTGCTGGGCCACCGTCCCCCCCACCGACTAAGTGGATATAAGATGTGACAATTTAATAATTTAATAATAATAACATTTATGTTCCAATAATGTAGAAATAAGTAGGAGCTAAGGACTATGTAAAGATCAGCATAGGGTCACACTTGATAAAAGAGAGAAGATTGAAACTACACGTGAAACCGCTGAGCTGAAGAAAATTGAATTAAAATAAAACTTAAGCATAAAATAAAATACAAGTAAACTGCGTCAACAACTTCAGAAGTGGGGTAGTCCCATTTATACATTCGCCTACATAGCCATACCTGAGAGCACCCATTTTTTCTCCCTTTATAATTACGACGCCATTCTGAAATGGACAAACACAAATTGGTGAGTGGCTACAAGCCAACAAAATCGAGTTCCCTGCAAGTGCAACTTTAAGGCAATTGTGCAAGCTTGCTTTGGATGCCGGTTACCAAGAGGTGGCTGAAATCCCAGAAAGCCTATTGGAGGAGGAGAACTCCAAAATGGAAGTATTAAGCCAAGGAGCCGCTACCGAAGGCATCCAGACATTGGAAGAAGAAGAAGAAGCACTGCTTGACGCCGCCATAAGGGTTGCTGAGAAGAAGAAAATATTGGCCGGATTGATGAAAAACGACGACAAAATGAAAGATGACCTCCAAATGGTGAAGCACCTCGTGAGCCCGTTTTCTGCCACTGAAAATGAGGAGGCCCTTGAGTGGATTTTAAATTTCGAGAGAATCTGCAGAGATATCGAACACGTTAAGGTAGCAACCTCAAGCGAACGGTCAGGTGGAGAGAGTAAATAGGACAGTGAAAGGGATGCTAGCCAAAATAACTGAACCAATTAAGGACGAAGACTGGAGCAAACTTTTAGATAGGGCCGAATATGCCATTAAGGGGTTATATACCTTTTTCACCAGAGAAATACAGGGTTTTTATTTATTTTTTTTTAGCATGTTACCATTGTTTTATTTAAATTCAATTAAAATTTTATCAAAGTACGTGTCCTTAACTTAATTCGTATAAAATTTCGAGTGAAAATTTTGAGAATTGTGGAAGTTATAGTCCTTGCCACAGAAGTCCTTTTTTAAGTAGTGGCTAACGGTGAGCATGAAAACAAGAAAACGGCTCAACGAAAAAAAAAAAAAAAAAAAAACTACGTTAGTATATAGTGTTACCTAGTTCGTGAACGAAGGATTTTACGAAAAAAATTTTTTTCAGTTACAGTGATAATTTTTTCAAAAAAACCGATTTTTCGAGGTCTAATAATTTAGTTTTTCGCCCCAAAAAATTAGAAAAATTTATCGAAAATAAAATTTTCTCAAAAATGCGATTCCGAGATAATCGCGGTTAAAGTTTTAGGTGGACTTTAGGTAGT